CAGCCAGCGTGGCGAGCGCTTCGAGGGCCTCCCCTTTGCAAAGTGCGCACCGGAGGGATTTATGTCACCAAGGGCCCAGGCACAGCGGTGCCAAGAGTCCCCCCTGGACCTCCCCCACCGCTCGCTCCCACCCAGCCCTGGACACGGGTGCTGCCGCACTCCCCAGAAAGCACAGCGCAGAAAGCCAAGCGGAGGGGCATCGGGCTGGGGACGCCCTCCCACGGGCAGCGCTGCCCCTCTCCGCACCGCCGCGGGCTGGCGTCACCCGACAACACCGTCCCCGGGACTTGGAAGGCCAAGCATTTTCCTGGCCACTATAGTTCCCACCCGGAAGCCATTGCTAAAAGGAAACAAAATGCAAGGCTGATTTGCATTTTCCCACGTCTCGCCTTACACTGGAAGAGCAGCGCTGAGGTCTAATTATACACTCCTGCCGCACCGTGGGGCAGCCAACATGTGCTTCGTGCACTGACTCTGTGCTGCCGGAGGCAGCTCAATTGCTGGAGCAGTTTGCACTGAATTTCAAATGCGGGCCTGGATTGCAAAAGACACCCCAGACCGAAACTGCTCCCCTCTCCACCCGCAGGCACAGGAAGACACTCCCAGACTGAGGGCTCATGCCCGGATCTCCCTCCCCCTCCCACGACCGGATTGTGGGCAAGCGGCGCCCATTACGGAATTTTCCTGGCAGGAGATTTCCGGGGCATCCTCCGAGTTGCTCCTTTGAACTCCAGCAGTTTTCCTGGAGACTTCCCTCCCATGCTCCAGACCATCGCTTGAGAAAGGCTCTTACTCTGCACAGGTGAAGTTGAGCTGCTCTCCAGCAGACCCTGCACCCTCACACGCTCCTCAGAGCTGCAGCCAAATTCCCCCATCCTCACCCGGGGCCAGACAACTCCCAAGTCAGGGTTTGTCTCCCCATTCCTCCAGTTTCTTTTCCAGCTGAGGGCTGGACAAGCGAGGCCATCCCAGCCTGCCGGCCCCCTCGCCATTGGGGCCCTGGCCTGGAGCTGGGGAGGGGAGGAAAAGCAGGGAGCTGTGGTGCTCCCTGGGCTCCCCACAGGTCAAAGGGGCCCCAGAGCACCCCAGAGCACACCGCACCGGTGCCGGCCCTGCGAGGCACCCGTGCCCGCTGTGCTGAGTCTGGCGCCGGCCCGTGCTGGCT